TCCATTAATTTTGCACGTACTTCATATTTTAGTGGGCATATTTGTGAAATCGTAAATGTAATGCAGTACATTGGTATTTATCCATTAGCGTTTTTGTAACGCAATGCGCGACCAACCATCATCACCACTATCGACGACAATAACAACAACAACAGTCGCAGCAGCAGTAATGAAAATCTAATTTAACCACAAAACACAGAAAATGTCTGCATATGAATAACAATTACCTAGCAAAATGACGCAATTACACTCGAATACACAATGTATGTGTGTGTGAGCAAATGTTTGTTTGTGGAAAACTATGAAGTCGATTCCATATTTGAAAGTTTACTCAGTGAATTAGAAACTTTAATTCCATAGATTCGTTTGCCCTTTTAAAACTAAAACAACATCAAGGTAATTGAATAAATATGTAGAATGACAATTAAACATAAACACTTATTCATTTTTCTCGCATATGATATCGAAATACACACAATTATCACTCCATCTCTCTATTTGTCATTTCATCCTTTCACTCTTCCTCTCTCTCTCTCTCTTTCTCTCTCTCTCTCAACCTAAAGACAATATTAATTTTCTTAATGCGTATTTGCGCAAACATTGTAACTATAATGAGTGGCAGCAAACAATTTATGCTTTCATAAAAAAAGGACTCATTCACTACAGTAATTTCTCTATGGAATTGTATTCGAGTTGAAATGCACGTTGTTTTGCGCATAAGATGACGGTAACTAATGGAATATCCAGTGTCTATAAATTTAACATGAAAGAAGAAAAAAACGTCATCATCAATAATTCATTGAATTCCATAAAAGCCATGCCTATATACAATATACATGGCTATGTGCTCATCGCAATGGCGATGGAGTCGTTAAAATTTCAATATTCGCTTTTTATTTGCTACTGTTTGCATGAAAGTGGCAAATTGAACTATAGAGGATTGAAACTTTGATGTATTCTCTTTTTTTTCTCTCTCTATCCGCTTTAAAACGTGTTTCTCCCAAAAAAATTATCATTTTTTTAAGTCCGTGTTGTAGACTTCCGTTGATTTTTATAATTATATCGATTGTACGTATATTAAAGATCCATTTGTTAGATATTTTGAAATGGATTTCAACACTGTGCTTTTGTCTAGATGTGGTTTTTTGTTTGATATGGAAATGCAATATAGTTTCGAAGGTGAATCGATTGCTTCATTCACTATTCATATCGATCAATAATACAATGGAAATTTGACTGCAATTCGCTTGCATTCTTTGTAATGCTAGCGACTGTAATTTGATTGTATGGGCAATTGGTTTGATTTAGAAAACTAGAATATAAAATAGATTGTGAATTTTACTTACAAAGAGAAATTATATCCACCTGTCCCGCCTCCTGTCAAATGCCGTACTCGCTCAAATACTGACGCGATCGGCTACGTGTATTCGATGATTAACAAAAAAAAAAACAACAATAACGAATAAATCGTCCGTTCGACGGAACGAGAATTGAAAAAAATGTGTAACCGAAACGAATGTTGAAAAAAAATTAACGTTGAAAATACGCGCACTCACTCATACAACAACATTAAGAACACCTTTTTACGTGTGTTTTTTATTGCTTTTACTTTTTTGGTAATTACAGTGTATGTGTTTTATTTTCTATTTTATTTGGTTCTCTCTGTCTGTTTGAAATTACGTTTAAGGTTCTTAAGGCTAGAATTTAACGTTGATTTTTGTGTAATGCCACCATTTAATCGATGTTGCTGGTTTCTTTTTGTTTTCGTTTTTGTTTAATTTTGAATGTGATGTCGGTTTATTGAATCGTCTTTTGTCTGAATCCTTTTCGAGCCTTTGCAAATGACTCTCGAACGGTTCCACCAATGCGAATGTGTTAAAAAATCATGTTAAACAAATCGTAGCAAAAGTGAACTCCTTCAGGCAAAAACGAATTATTTTTTATAATTTTTGCTTTCTCTCGTCTCCAATGTCTTCTTCTTCTTTTTGTTGATAAACTTACGGTGCAGCAAAGTACGTAGACGTCTTATTCGATGGAATGATATGCAATCAATTTTATGCTTTTTATGTTGTTACTTGTTTCTTATTGCATATAGACACATACACATAGACACACGATTGGGGGGAGCGCATACAATGAAAACCCGCACCCTCTTTTTCGTGCTGCTTTTACACACGATGATATGGTTATATAGCAATCAGCCGTATGAAATGACACCGCACGATGCAGAACTGTTATGTGTGGATATAGCGAGTGTTTTTTTTAAATACACGGCACACAATACCAATACATGAACGCGACAAATAAACCTGGTTTATATGTGTTATGTATTATTGTTGTTGTTCGTTCGTTTACTTACGACGCGTTACGATGTCCTTATTTGATAAAGTTGAATTCAACTTGATTTTACGTACGGATTTTGTTTGCAAACGTTTAAATTGACAACGATTTTTTTTTTGCTTTTTTGATTTTATCAAATCTTATTATTTGCCAAATATGATTGTTTTAGGTCTGTGTGAATGGACACGAGATTTTTTTGGACGAATAAATAAAAAAAAATTGTGGATTAAATGTCCATGCTGCATTCATTCACAAGCCAGTCAATATCGATTTATTGATTCGAACCAAAACAAAAACACAATTTTTCGAAAGCGAAAAAATGAAAAATAACAATCACCAAATAATTGACTAGAAAAGCACACTGATTTCTTATACAATGTATTGATATGTTTTATGTTTTACAAACTACGATTTAAATCACAAGAAATTTTAAAACTCGATACACTTATACGCTATGATATGATTTGAATGATTTGAATGCTTAAATTGCTATGATATGTATGTTGATATATAAATTTTCTCTAAATTGATTAAATTAATTCAAAATGCCATTTGAATATTTGTGGTTGATATGTTGATTGATTGATTGAATGTTTTATTTTATTATTATTTTTTAATTTTAAATAAATTTTCTTCTGATATATTCAGAGAATGTTGTGTGGCAGGAGGCTCACTCGGCGAAGAATTTCCATCGAACTATGAACAACGTTGGGAAAAATGTTCTGTATGTGTACATAAATTCCGTCTCGGTGGTGACGGTTTTCGAATGTTTTCTGGTTGTATGGTTGTAAATGTGTTTTTCGCACATACACGCACAACCAAACACACCTCTAATACAGTGCTATGCATGTGTATATAACACAATTTATTGCAAGGGAATACACAGTTGTTGTTGTTGCTGTCGTATTGAATGGCTTCGGTGTGTGCGTGAATGTGCTTTTTCAACGTTGTTGTCAATTTTCCAGTTCCATAGGAACGAATTCGGGCAATGAATACATCCATGGATGGAAATGCAGTTTACATGAATCTAAAAGGATAGGCAGACGGCAATTTTGCTTGATATGTGTGTAAATGTGGTTGTGTATGGATTGCGAATGAACCGTAAAAAGCATGCGCAAAAATGTCTGTTTTCGCCAAAGGGAAATCAACCATTAACACGTTTAAGCCTCTTTTACGCTGATAGAATATGCGATACATACAAATCACTAATAAATTCGGGAGCATGCAGGATTTCCTCGCAAAATTTGCTATTGTTCATGTGCGAACACACAGATGGAGTGCCCATGAAACAAGCGCAGAAAATTCAATTTAAATTTGAATAGAAATTCTAAAAGAATAGCTTAGATCTTGAAAATAAAAATCATCTACGTTAAATGTTAACAAATTTCTCGAACAAATTAATCTCTTTAAATCAAAGATTTTGGCCAAAGGCATACCACAATAATTTGATGAAATGTAAATAATAGAAATCATGCAACTATACATTTTTTTCCCAAGTGTACTTATTATGAATGCATTTTGATTTATGTCAATTGAAATGTTGGCAGTTCACCCAAGGGTAAAACCTAAACTAGTGTCGAAGCCACTTTTAAAATTATCATTGGTCATGAGATAGTCCACAATTTTACTACAAAATCATAAATAACAAATTAGAAATGAACGATATCGCTTGATATGTGAACATTTTCAAGATCAATTAATCTAATGCAATTTAAAAGTGCTACTCGTATAATCCAACCGCATAAATTTAATCCTATAATATTATCAAATTGAATAAATATGTATGCACGTACACATTTATGTAATGACAAAAATAAGGACGTATTAATATATAAAATGGAGAAGTCTGTTAGGAAAGAGTGTAAAAGGCTTTTGAGTGTTCAAGTGTGAAAATGTGTAAAATATTCAATATGGAAAGACTAAATCAATTTCGAAAGACAATTCAGAGTCAAATTCAAGTTCTAGTAAGTCATCTTAGCTCATTTAAATAGGCAAATTACACGTATGAAAATTTACAGATGAACGCGGTGATCCACTTTATTCAAATGATGTGGAAAAGTGTGATTGTTCGGATTATCATGGTGCTTCGAAATTTTCACCAGGACTTTTGCACAAAGAGTAACATTCACGGTCTTCGATATTTCGCCATTCAAACACTTCATTGGAGTGAAAGGTACCACGAATACATTTTGAATTTTCATCAAAATTAATTTCCAATTTTATCTCTATGACCATAGATTCTGGTGGATAATTAGTTTTATCATAGTATTTTCGTTATGTGGATTAATGATTCGTGGCATTTGGATCGA